ATGTCTTGTACAGGTTATTTCCGTTTCTTTAGACACGTTCTAATATAATAGTAATAATAGACTACCTAGTTTCTGTCTCTTTTAACCAAATAACAATATGTTTTCATTTTTGTCTGTATGACACGTAGTTTTGCATTTGGTAATTTAAAATAAATCCTGAAATTTGTATTAATTTGATTAGACATCATTCAAACCATTGAAAATATAATGAATGGAATTAATAAAAATAAATATTGTTGACGCCTAGAATACTTCTGTTAGATGAATCAGTGGCGAATTCGAACACGAGTTCTAAATTTATCGGGAAAGATTCTCAAGTGTATTTTGCAATAGCATCAATCTGGTTTTGATAATTTATATTCTAGTTGGTATTCTAACATTTAAGGTCACATCAAAGTTCGCTGTATATCTGATCTGGATTCCAATCATGATGTTATTACTTCTTCGATGATATTTATATCATCAAGATTCAGTACATTATATTGTCTTTGATGATATATATGTCGCCTGCACTTTTTAAACTATCGAGAAGTTGAAGTCATAGCGTCAAAAACACATTTTAATTTTGTGTGTATTTTGTTGTTTACACTATTTTATAAATTAATATGTATGTACTTTTGGTTTGCTGTCGTAGATATTCTGACACTTTTGAAATTTTCATAACGTCCATAGACACTATGACTCAATTTAGTGTATCATAACGTCCATGGACATTATGTCACGGGACATTATGATACACCACCTAAAATGAGTATAGATTTTGGGGGATTGTTTCCTAGACAATAATGTCAATGCCATGGCAAAAATGGTTGAAAATATAATTATGCTGGGAATGAAAACATTCATCCGTCGAATAAGCCTAGGCAAAAGTCTTGGTTTAATGAGAAGTGCAAAAATGCCATCAGATCCAGAGAGGAAGCTTTCAGAATTTGGCGTAATAACAAAAACGTGCAAACTGATAAGCTGTGCCAGAGTGCTAAGACGCCAAAAAGCTCTACACGAGCAGCCCCTTCGCGCTAAAGCTCTTGCTGCAAAACCTTTTGGTCGTTCGTTAAAAGTGTTAAGGATAATGCCAGTTCTTCAATTCCGACGCTTTTCAAGGACGACCAAACATTCACTGATCCGGTTGATAAAGCTAACCTCGAAAGGGTATCAGTAACTATGGCAAATATATTCTTTCGAGCGCGTTCTGTTAAAAAGGTTCTAACATATCTCAACATTAACAAGTCTCCTGGACTGGATGTCATACCGGCACTGGTCTTGAAGCAGTGCTCTTCAAAGCTAGCTCGTCCATTAGCTAATCTTTTCAGCATTCTATACCATGCCGGCAAATTTTCTGTATGCTGGAAGATTGCTAATGTAACGCCAATTCCTAAAAAGCACTTTCTAAAGTTATGGAAAGTATGGTAAATTTCCATCTTGTCAAGTATTTAGAGACCAACAATTTACTTAACGACCGCCAGTATGGCTTTCGTAGAGGTCGCTCTACGGGAGACTTACTAGCCTTCCTTTCGGAGAAATTGTGTCATTCCATTCACCATTTTGGCGAAAGTAAAGTGGTGGCTCTAGATTTTCAAAGGCGTTTGAGTGTGGCATGGTGCACTTGTATCAAAACTAATTGCGGTAATAACTTCTCTCGATTTATTTCGAGCTTTCTCAGAGATCGCACTATACGAGTTGTTATAGATGGGATCTCATCAAACGAGTTCAAGATTAATTCAGGGCTCCGTTCTTTCCCCTACCCTACTTCTTATCTTTATAAATGACCTTCTATGTCAAACTTCCAACTCTATCTACTCTTTTGCGGATGACAGCAGTATCTGCCATTCTTATTCATTCAATCATAGGCCAAGCTCTCTAGAGATTGGGGCAATGAGGCGCAATATGAATGAATCGCTTAATCACGACTTGATAAGAATCTCTGAATGGGGTCATGTTAACAGAGTCGATTTTAACGCCCGTGAGACTCAATGTTGTTTTTTAACACATAAACGCTTGGCAGATATTGTTGTTCCATCTAGTGTAAATATTAAGGAATCAGAAACTCTTGATGTTCTGGGCATGAAAATTCAGTGCGATGTCCGCTGGACTAAACACATTTTTCAAGTGTCGAAAGAAGCATTCAAGTGTCTCGGTTTTTTGAAACGGTATAAGACATACTTCACTCCATATCCGACCGAAAATGGAATACAACTCTCATGTATGGGCCGGAGCTTCGAAGTCTATTTTGGAGCTACTCGACCGCGTACAGGAGAGGGCGAAGGTACTTATCGGTGACAGTAGGGTATCCAACTCTATTGATTCACTGGAGCACCGTCGCAACGTGGGGTGTATTTCACTGTTCTATCGATACTACAATGGAATGTGTTCCTTTGAAATTAGGGAACTTGTTCCCGATATCCGTATATTCTTGCGTAACACACGTCTTTCTTCAAGAACACACCCATTTGTGGTAGATTGACCAGTGGACCGCACAACGCATTACAGGGAAAATTCATTCTTCAGCCGCACTGTTCGTATGTGGAATAAACTTCCTGCAGAGGTATACTCCCTCTATCCTCCTTCCCACAACCTATTTTCCTAGTTCCAACACAATGCTTCTCATAAGTACGGGTCATCCCCTGAGTGCTGGTCCAATTATAAAAAAGCTTGTAAATTTTCCATTTTTATTCTTTTTATACTAAAGATGGCCATAAATTTATAATGATTTATAAATACTCGTAATTGTATATACATTAACTTAATTGTTTCACAACAGTTTAAAAACCTTCAAATTCTTGAGAATATTTCGTTTTATTGTATATTTTAAAAATGTTTGTAATTCTAATTTGTATACAAATGTATTTTTACATTTTTCATGCTCTTATTTGAATTAATTCAGTGCAATTCATAAATTCTTTATGAATTTAACACGTAAACAAAGTCAGACAGACAGACGGACACACATTGCATGCATGCACTCGTACTTAAACTGCCAATGTATGCATTTGAAAACAAAAGACTTAAGCAACAAACTTGTTTGAATTTTAAATAAAATTTTGTGCAAAAGAAGTGTAAAATAAAAACAAAATTAAAAAAAAAAACTGATGCAACACCTAAATAAAATTAAATCAAATGTATTTATTATTTGGTTAAAACAATTTAATGAAGTTTTGTAAAAAATACAAATTTAACCTGTTGCTATTATTAAAACCTGAGGGTGTTGCAATTAGATGATTTCTTAATATTTCGAAAGGATTATTTTCTTTATTTTTTGTAATAAAAATTCTGTTGGTTAAACGAAACCTGGAATAAATGAATTTAACAGATTTATATCTTTTTTCCTTCATTGATGTCTAAGAAGGTATTTGGTTTTGGTGTGGTCTTAGACTACAATTACAACATGTTTTGGTGCATGAGTTGTAAAAACTTGTCTTTTTTATATCATGGTATTTCATTTTTCTTGGTCCATTATAACTGGGTAAAGTTGAACAACAGTTGGTAACTAAAACTAGAAAACAAAACGAAAAAAAATCTACTCTTAGTGAATTTATATTGAAATAAATATATATTTTTTGCCGGTTTCTTGTAAATTTTAAATTGTAAAAGTAATTGTAATACGAGTTTTGCTTACACCCACTACCCTGCAATTCTCTGCAACTCATGTATAAAGTTCAATAAAAATATATACAATATGATATGGTTTTACTTTTTTTATTTATTTTTTATTAAAAATACATTTAATTTACCATAGAGTGTATAGATGTTAGTAAATAAATAAATATTTAAATTATCTTAAACCAATTATATTAAATATTATTTATATAGTTATTTGTGTCTAATAGTTGTACGTGTTTTTCATATTTTTTAGTTGTTCTTAGACAACAACTAATCATGTTTCTTTTCAATTTGTGGTTTAGATCAGATGAAATATAGTCCGTTGTATGTGTGCAAGCATTCAATGTACATGGACCACACCTAATTTAGAAGGGTACTTTTTCTTATAGTCGTACTTTTATTTAACTGTGCATTTAAACTAAACTAAAATAACAATAAGAAAACATAAAACAAAGCTAAATATTAAAAAAAGTAAAAATTATAATTAATTGCTGTTAATTCGAATACAAAAGTTAATCATATTGTGAAAATTGAAACATCCGTTTATAATTGTTATTTTTAATGTCTCATTTTTAAAATTTGTTATTCTATTTTAACAGGGTCAATTTGCTTTTACTTTTAAGTATGAAATGTATGACGATTTTATATCTCAAAAATAGGTAATGAGAAACAGGATAGAGATATAAATTATATTTGATTCGAATTTCACATCAAAAGAAAATGGACATCTGAAAGTCGATTCTGTTAACTTTAAAATAAATGATTAACATCTGACATATCTTCATTCTTCTATGTTTCTCACTCCAGTCGCTTACTCGATGCTCCATTAACATGTTGCTTTTTGTAATTTTGAAAACGGCATTTTACAAAAATATATAAATGAATGTCATTTTGAAAAAAAATAAACAGTATCCAGCAGAGCTCGAACCACGAACCCCCTGTTTGTTAAATAAACGACCTAGACAATTGAGCCATAACAAATCCAAATTGTTTTGTTCTTTACCAGTAATAACCTTCGCGACGGGTAGTCATCTTGACGCGATGCGAAGGCTTATGTGTGATGACCCATGCAGGCCGTGCTGGTAGGGCTACCCATGCCAGAGGGGCTCATGACGAGCACATACTAAGAACTACCCTTCCCACGACTGGCAGCGTCTGTTTCTCCCCGATGGGGCGGCTACCAGTCCAAGTACTTGTCAAAAGATCTCTACTCATCCTTCGGATGTGTATCTTTTGACAGTACAGTCCGTTCGGGATCTTTAGATCCCTAAACTCCACGACGGTCCGTCTAAATCCACCAGCGTCTGTTCCCACATTGGGCGGCTTGGTGGTCTGCAAGCACATCATATGCAGAATCATATACTTGGCAGCAAGTATAAAATGCACACCGTTTTTAATGTCCAATGTCCGACAAGAAACCGTGCCCCGCGTATCCGGTAAGGGGCCTAATAATCTCCGGAGACCCTACCCCCACGGCGAAGGCGACAGGCTGTGGAGAGTCGAGTGCTACTGGCACCCAGGTTAGTCCGGCGGAGACACCGGGTCGGGCTAGTCTGAATGCTACCGGCGCCAAACCCAAAACAAAAGCGTCTGCGGATTTAGGGAAGCCTGGATCCTGCAGTCGCAAAACAATAACAGCATCTGGCTCCAAAGCTGGATGCAGCAAAATAAGCAGCGAGGCACCTCTGGACGTCACCCCAAGTACCTCAAAGGCAGCTCAGGTCCGTATTGGCAAAATGCCGATAAAACCCCCTGTTTCGGGGACTACTAAGGCCACCAAAACCAAGGTAGCAACCCCAGTGCCGGTTATGCACGAGGGAACTGCGAACAAGATTTCGGGTTCTCAAACGGCATCTCCCAATGCCAACACGGCGAATAGTAAGACCCCCAGGCACGTAACACCAGCAAGAAGGGCCTTCCTACAACGGCGCTCCGCCGCCAAAATTCTAGCGCGCTTAGCTGGCAAGCCAGTTGAGTCGCTAAGTAAAGAGGACAAGTCCTCTCTAGAATGGGCTAAGGGAAAATTGGCCGTTCTGGAGAAGAGTCCCCCCCTCACGTCTAAGGACGCGCCTAAACGGCAACGTTCTGAGGAGGAGACTAATCTTCAGGGCCAGCAGCCCGGGACAAAACGTCCGAAACCGTTGCCCCCCAAGCCGCATGACAGGACCTCCGGTGAAGTGGTTGAGAACCAATTCACGCGTGCTGTCATCGACAGGGGTGACATAGATGGCGCTATGTCTCCATCCAGATGGGACATAGTGCGAAAAAAGCTGATGGGGGTGTTCTGGGAAGTTCTTAAACAGAACCCTGGTCCCCCCCCACAGTGTGAGGACGGCGGTTGGTTTCACAACAGAGTGAAGCTAATGGCCTGTTCCAACGAGCGCTCAGCTTTGCTCCTGAAGCAGGCTGTGTCGCTGATAAAGGATCCGTGGGAAGGTGCTAAGCTGGAAGTGGTCTCTGTGGACGAGATCCCACGAAGGCCTAGATCCACCGCCATAATTCCTGCGGAACCACATAAAAAGGCAGCGATACTGGAGCTTCTACAGGTTGGCAATCCGGATCTTCCAACTCAAGATTGGAAGGTCGTCAGGGTTTCTCAACCCGTAGGAAGCTCCAGAAGGATTGTTGTGATCCTGAACCAGGAGTCTTTGGCGCCGCTTCGCGAGAAACAAGGGAAGGTCTACTACGGCTTCGAGTCGATCTTCCTCCGTGTCTACCGAGGCGATGACAAGGGACTATTGGAACAGGATGATCCCGATCCTGACCAATCCGCTGCGGATATGTCTTGCGACGAGACTGACCTTTCGCTGAGTCAATCAACTTCTAAGTTGGTTAAGGAGGGGGAAGAGTCAGTTGACGAGGACGATCTCCTTGCCTCTGACAAGGAGGACGCCAACGTCACAGTGTTGCGTAAAGACAAAAAAGGAGATGGTGAGAGTAACCCAAATTAATCTCCACCACTCCAAAGCAGCCTCGGCTGCACTGCTCCTCCGAATGGGTGTAAGTGGGGAGGAGCTCGCCCTAGTCCAGGAACCCTGGATTCACCAAGAAAGGGTGAGTGGACTAGGCATGAAAAGCTTTAAGCTATTGTACGCAAAAGGATCTGGTAAGATTCGATCCTGTATAGTAGCCAAAAGCAGTCTCAACATCTTCATTCTTTCTGATTTCAGTGATGAAGACACCGTAGCAGCCATATGGGAGACCAGTGTAGGTGCTATATTGGTTATCTCGGCGTACATGGCTCACGACCACAGCGACCAGCCACCGAACAACCTGGTCTGCAGATCCATAGAGATGGCAAACTCGAAAAGCATGCCGATCATCATGGGGGCTAATGCCAATGCCCATCATACTGTCTGGGGAAGCTCGGACATAAACGCTAGAGGTGAGTCAATCTTTAACTTCATTCTAAGCAATAATCTTGATATTTTAAATACAGGATCCGAACCGACCTTTATTGTTTCAAACAGAAGGGAAGTTCTTGACATTACGCTGGTTAGTTCTATGCATCATGATAGGATAAGGGGATGGAGAGTCTCAAGTGACTGTTCTTTCTCTGACCATCAGTACATCGATTTTGAAATCGTAGTTGACAAAGTGGCCCCAAAGCCCTTTATAAACAGGAGACGAACAGATTGGGAAATGCAAATGGGGCTAATCTCACGTTCACTCCAGGATGTACCGATCATCGAAAACCGATCGGACATAGAAAACGCGGTTGAAACCATAAATCAAGCTTTCAAACACGCGACTTCACTGTCTTGTAAACAGAATATGCACAAAGGCAGATGCAGGCCCCCATGGTGGTCTGCGGACATTGCGAAATCTCGAAAAGAGACGCGCAGACTGTTTAACGAGGCAAAGAAAACAGGAAACTGGATTTCTTATAAGACCTCGGTTAATCGTTTCAAGAACCTGGTAAGAAATGCAAAGCGCAAATCTTGGAAAACCTTCTGTAGCGGCGTGGAAGGTTCTTCTGAGACCAGTCGTCTGCGCAAAATCTTATCATCTACTCCTCCTGTCCCAAGTTTCATTCAGAAACCTTGTGGCAGTTGGACGACCAGTAGCCAAGAAACCTTAGAAGTTTTAATGGCCACTCACTTTCCAGGCTGTCAATCTCCGGAAAACGGGACTGACATGCAGTTTACAGATCTCCCAGCTGATACAGGAATATCCATAAATGAAGATAAAATCAACTGGGCGATAAACAGCTTCGACCCCTACAAATCACCGGGTCCTGACGGTATAATACCTGCGGATTTGCAATACAATGCTGTCCATCTTATGCCTTGGCTAACGCGGATATATGATGCCTGTTTAAAATGGTCTTATATACCCGAACCCTGGACCAAGTGCACAGTGGTCTTCATTCCGAAAGGAGGAAAGACCTCTCACACGAAGCCAAAGGATTTTAGACCAATTAGTCTATCCTCCTTTCTTCTCAAAACTTTGGAAAGGATAATTGATCTGCATCTCAGAATACATATCAAACCTGACCATTTATCAGCATCTCAACATGCCTACATGAAGGGAAAATCTGTTGAGACTGCATTACATTCGCTAGTTTGTCACATTGAAAAGACAATAGCGCAAGGGGAATATACACTGGTTGCCTTCTTGGACATCGAGGGGGCTTTCAACAATGTTCACCCTGGGTCGATAACAACGGCCCTAACTGGTCTGGGTATAAACCAACCAATAACAGCTTTCATCAAGAGATTACTGACTCAGCGAATCATTATCTCCGAAATGGGAGCAGCAAATGTCACAAAAGTGGCAAATCGCGGTACCCCACAAGGTGGAGTTCTATCTCCACTTCTGTGGAACCTAGCGTTGAACCCACTTCTTATGGATCTTAGATCTATGGGATTTAAGGTAATAGCATATGCAGACGATGTGTCTGTAGTAGTATCTGGCAAATATCTGGATACTTTATCGCAAAGGATGGAGATTGCACTCAGGACACTCAGTACATGGAGCAACGTCAGTGGCCTTGGTGTTAATCCATCGAAAACGGAACTTGTTCTCTTCACTAAGAAGTACAAGATACCCACCTTCACTCTCCCACGACTGAATGGGATAGAATTGAAGTTATCGGATAGTGCTAAATATCTGGGAGTAATCCTAGATTCAAAACTATCATGGCATTTGAACACTCAATCTAGAGTATCAAAAGCGGCTGCGGCCTTATACTCGTGTAAAAGAGCAATTGGCAAATCATGGGGCATAAACCCCAAGAATACCAAATGGCTCTTCGACATGGTAGTCAAGCCCATACTATTGTACGGTGCACTTGTATGGTGGAAGTCTGTACAAAAGGACTCACACCGCAAACGTTTTGAGGGAATCCTTCGCACATCAGCTCTGTTGATAACGGGGGCTCTCCGCACCACCCCATCAAAGGCTCTCTTTGTCATGATGGGATGGCTACCTATTGATCTAATGGCCCAAGAGGTTGCCCTCAACGCGGCTATTAGACTCAATACAATTGGTATGTGGCATATGATTCAGTCAGGTCACTCCACCATCCTCAATTGTCTAGGAGAAATTCCTGGCAATATCGACTATTGCATCGCCAAACCGTCTTTTGATAGAAGCTTTTCGGTGAATATCCGAGACGACCCAAATGTGATGGAAACAATCCTCCATGATGGATCGTATAAGGTTTTCACTGATGGCTCAAAATCAAACCATGGTGTAGGCGGTGGCTTTTACATAGCACATTCGGGAACGGAAGTATCATTCAAGCTTCCTGACCAATGTAGCGTCCTTCAGGCTGAACTATCAGCCATTAAACGGGCTGCAAACTGGCTCAGGTTTTATCGAATATACGGTGTTAATATTCGAATTTATACCGACAGCCAGGCAGCCCTTAAGGTTCTAAGTGGTGTCTACACGACGTCAAACTTAGTCCTAGAATGCCGGGCATCCCTTAACGAGATGGCGAAACATTCCACAATAGGACTGTATTGGATTCCAGGACATCAGCAAATTCCTGGTAATACCATCGCGGACTCTCTTGCCAAGTTAGGCTCCTCGCTTGCAGGAGAGCATACCGACCCTTTTGTCGGTATACCGCTTTCAACCTGCAAACGCTCGATACGTGAAAAACTATATGAGCTTGCGCAATGCAGATGGTCGACTGAAGCCACCTGTAGACAGGCAAGGATCATGTGGCCATCTTACGACCCACAAAGATCCCAAGCCCTTTTCTACATTCCGAGAGTTAATCTACGGAACTTAACGGCAGTGGTAACTGGCCACTGGCCTTTCGGACTCCATGCAAGAAGACTGAACTTACCCAGTAACGACTTCTGCAGGAGCTGCCAGGATGAAGAGGAAGAAGAGAGTATAACTCACTTCCTCTGTCATTGTCCTGCCCTAGCTGATCACAGAGTGGGTCTGCTAGGTAGCTATTTTCTGCATGACTTAGCGGATCTATCGGAGGTTGATATCCGAAAGATAGATTCCTATATTCGTGCGACAAACTGGTTCGGTGGAAACCAGAGTGATTAGGTTGAAGTGTACTAATACGCCGACCGTTCTCTCTCGTTTCAGGTATCACAAAGGGATCAAAATTCTGGACCCAAGTGTGTCCCCAGTGATGACATCGCGAGGACGACCTGCCTACCTAACCTAACCTACCAGTAATAACCTATTCAGCTAAATGAAATAATGTGGACGATAATGAACACTCATTACCAAGTAATGTATGAAATAACTACTGGCTATTACCAAAAATTTCAGATTTTTTGCTGGGTACTGCTATCAAACTCGATATATCCCACCTATTTCGTGTTAGGTATAAGGTGTCTTGTGCGTTTTTCATTGAAAGAAGGCCACAATAACTTGACCCCTTTACATGTGCCTGGGTTATTTCCATATTATTTCAAGACTGACGACCCAGACTTGACAGATATTTCTTGAATTGTCTGATCAATAGGGAAGTGGTAGTATAATAGTTTAGTGACAAACGTGCCGATTAAGATCATACAGATTGACATCAGCCTGAAAAACACTACAGTTGTTGGAAAGACGGTAAAAATACTTATCCAAGCTTCTTCACAGAAGATATCGGAACACCGCAGTTAATTTTAGAACAATCTCTAAAGATTCTGGTGGTATATTCACTCGGTAGGTTACCCCCATTCGCTTCTAGATGGAATTCAGATGGTTGGTTCATGGTTGGAGATATTTGCATTAAAATCTAGCATGTCCATATATTCTTGTTCCTGATATGGCCATTATATGCATTATATATGTATAGGATATGCAATATAGTGTCCAGAGATTCTGAAGGATTAGTTCTTAGAGCACCTGTTATTAAAATGCACGCTGATCTCTGAACTTTTTATAATTGATCTACATCAAATTTCTTCTTAGTTGAATTTCTCTACACAAAGGATCCGTATTTACAAATAGGACGAACTGTAGCTGCATACATTTATTTAACTATGAATTTTAGTAAGGTTGTTAACTTCTCCCTTTTTGGGGATTGGCTACGAATCTAAGGACTCTAATTTGATGAGATTATAGTTTGCTGTTGTTGATTGGTTGGTTATGGTGGTAGACACTGCGCATGAATAATCTGGTAAAGTCGAAGGTATTCCGTTTGACAGGACCACTTCACTCGTCAGATGTAGTTTTGTATAGTATTAGCCGTGATTAATCTCAGGATGTCATTAAGACCCAGATATCTCACCAAGGTTGTATATATAGTAACTGCCAAGGAAACTGCTTCTCTTGACGACTAGAGCAGGACATTCACAGATGATATGGAAGATCGTTTCTTTCTTTTTTGTGTCTTTGCAACTGCTACAGTATTTATTGAAGGGGATGTCAAGCCGACTTGCATGTTTGCCTAGCACCCAGTGTCCTGTTATTACTGCTATCAACCTCGATATATCCCACCTATTTCGGGTTTGGTATAAGGTGTCTTGTGCGTTTTTCATTGAAAGAAGGCCACAATAACTTGACCCCTTTACATGTGCCTGGGTTGTTTCCATATTATTTCAAGACTGACGACCCAGACTTGACAGATATTTCTTGAATTGTCTGATCAATAGGTAAGTGGTAGTATAATAGTTTAGTGACAAACGTGCCGATTAAGATCATATGTATAGTATCACTACACTACAGTTGTTGGGAAGACGGTAAAAATACTTATCCAAGCTTCTTCACAGAAGACATCGGAACACTGCAGTTAATTTTAGAACAATCTCTAAAGATTTTGGTGGTTGATCACTCGGTAGGTTACCCCCAGTCGCCCCCAGATGGAATTCAGACTTTAAAAATTCTATCAAAGTCAGAAAGTGCGGTA